GGCGTCACACTAGTCATGTGACTCGCTGACGCAACAGTATCCTTGGAGTGACACTTTTTTCTTTTATTCGCCTCAAAATGAATAAATCCACAAGGCTTAAAGTAATGTAGATCAATTAATATTTACAGTTAAATGATATCTAACACATTGGAAACACAACAGGATTTTATATTCTAACAATGAACTTTTTTCACACATCATAACTAATCACGTTTTGACTACAACAACAAGTTTTTGGATAAAATGAAGTATATTCAAAGTTTAGAAATCCTCTTGACCTTGAAAACTTTTCTCGAAAAGTATCACATACCAATAAGTTTTATCGCACATTTAATATTATCCCACACTTTATCCACGCTAACTGTATGAACCGAAATTTCAAATGCCAAAATTTTTTAATGTGAATATTTACCCTTTAAATTACTAACATGGTAACATTTGAGGCAAAAATCGTTAAAAAAAGTTAATATAAATCGACTTCTGAATTTTATGATTAACGAATACAAAGATTTATGTGTAATAATTTAAATAATACAGTGCTAAGTTGTTAATTCCAACGTTAAATATCTCAAAATTTAAAATATTAATAAATGAAGTGAATATATAAATTAAAGTAATGATAAAAACTGAGTATCGATCGATCATAGGAAATGTTGACCAAGACGTAGTAAAATTAAAGCTGAAGTTTGAAGCATTCTCAGTGTACCTTTTCTAAATACAGTTCTTATCACCAGATGCCACTAACTTTACATGGTATTACTATAAAATTGCTTAACGGGTGTTTAAAACAGTTCATAATATACTGAAACTTACTTTTTTATAATGTTTAGAAAATCTACTCATCAAATAGTTTATTTTCAAACTTAACAGCATTTAATCAATATTCAATCATCTGAGGAGGAAAGTAACAAACACTCGTCAGTAATGCTTATTTATTGATTGCACCGCCAGGCTGACTGCAACCCGTCTATCGCATTAGCTTGAAACTGCAGGGGTAACGAGAAAAATAAGCTGGGTTAGGCTACAACAGACTTAACGACTTGGCGCACTCGGGTTTTTATTGCATGCTCTCATGGCCAGCTGAGCTTCGTCGTTTAAAACTAAACAAATACTTATATCATTAAAAAATACAAAGCTCTAAAGAATTTCTCCAAACATGGGTAAGTGCATTTCTCAGCTTGATAATAAGGTTGTTTAGTTATCCCGCCCTCATGTACGTTTGAAATTGAGGTCGTCTTGTCGTGTTGTTTCATTTTCATTTCAGTAGAGAAGGGTTTAGATGAAATACTCGATTCTGTACGTAGAGTCATGGTTTTGAAGTTAAAACTAAGATAAAGATATTTCAGTATTTAATACAACATTAATGATGATGTTACTCTCTTTATATAACTTTACATATTTAAAGTCAAGCATATATTTAGTTTCTTTTATGTTTTACGTCTACTGATACTTAAAAACAAAACTGTTTTGTGTAGTGCTGGCTAATTTCTTTTATAATAAAAGGTACCAAGTTTTGATTTAATACATTCTTTAGGTTGCTATCGTCTTTTCGTGTCTTTTTAAAGTGACCACGCAAATCAAATTCTGTCCTATTGCATAAAGCGGTGTATAGAAAGGAGATATAACCCAAGATAGTCTGTAGATTTTGTTAGATCGGAGGTGAAATTAATGGCCGAAAACACCGCCAACAGCAAGGATACTCGATAGGCTTTTTGTAGTATGACCGTTACTTATAATTAAGACTACTTATTATTAACAGTAATTATTATTCTATATCTTAGCAATTCTTTTGGTAGAAGTTATTAACATACTAAGAATACACTTTATAGATAACAAATGTTGTTGTTTTTACATGTTACTAAATCACCTCAAAATTTAATAATTATATTGCTAGATTAAGTTAATGAGCAAATATCATGATTATTTCGTGCATATATATGTTTATCAAATGAAAGCATTTAGATTAGCCCATAACGATATTCTCGAAACTTCAAGCCATCTGTTCTCACCACAATATCCATGAAATAAATTTTAAAACTTGAAATATCCATATAATCACCATATTTTAAGTTTAACCTAGTCAGGTAAACTACTCCAGAAGTAAATATGATAAACAGATGAATCTACCAAATATCTGGTTTCTCACACCGTGATTAGGGCGCTCGACTCCCAATCTGTGGGTCGCGGGTTCGAATCCCCGTTACACCAAACATGCTCGCCCTTTTAGCCGTGGGGTGGTGTAATGTTACGGCCAATCCCATTATTCGTTGATAAAAGAGTAACCCAAGAGTTGGCGGTGGATGGTGATGTCTAGCTGCCTTCTCTCTAGTCTTATGCT